TCTTATAACACTAACTAACACGGGACTGCTTTTCTTGTCGGACCGAGAGCAGCAAGCCGGTCCAGCCTTCACACTGGACAGCCACCACCCCAAACCACAATCACACCCGGCCACCATTATCATGCTCGGCCCCCTCATCTCGTGCCCGATTCACTCACCTATTCTCACTCATGCCCTAGTTCCCCGCCGCTCTTAGCCGTTGCAACTAGCTTTTTGTCCCTTTCATTTCATTCACCTCCTTCCTTCCTATGATTTTGCATTTGTTGGTCCCTCTTGCACTCCTATTTATGTATGTTTTTATTTTCCTAGTTCTAGACAGCTTTTGTGTGATTTTTGGTTTTAGGTTTGCCACGACAGTGTTCCCCTCCCGAGGGGTTGTATCCGATGGCGAGAGGTGTTTCGGCTGTACCTCACCTAAGGTGGTGATTACCCCACTCTACCACCGCAGCCAACCACTCCTACAACTCCTCCAACAGTTTGCGGGACCCTCCAATCTTTCCCAGCTCCTCTCCAGACGTTGTCGGCCATCTTTGCACCTCTCCCAATTAGTCGAAGCACCTCCAGATTCCACACAGCCGTCCTCTAGCTGCTGCCACAGCACCTTCAGACCTTCCCAACAGCCTCTGCAATCCTTCCCAACGCCCGTTCCAGCAGGTTATTGTACCTGCAACCCAGTCCCCGGCACCCCTCCAATGCTGACGTTCACTTTGACATCCTCCTAGCCGCCGCCGACACTTTCCCGGCCCCTCCGACGGAGTCTCAACCCCCACCTCGTGCTGTCCAGGATTGTTCCCGCCCTCTTTGGTGCTTATTTTATTACTTGTTGAGTGGTTACTTCTTATATTATCGTTCACATGTTTGTGATGTTTTTCGTCCAAGAGTCTATGTAGTACTCCCTTCAAAATTCGCAATAAAATTGTGTTGTTTGAGTGCTGAATTGGGTTACCTCCGGTATCATTAACTCAATCAAGCTTGATTGAGCAATACTCGGACTTTAGTTGGCTCATTTACATCCTTACTCATCAATTATTGAAGTAAAATAACTGAAATTGCAAACAAAAAACACCAAAGAACAATCATGCAATATTCCAATCCAATGCAGAGGGTTGTTTGATTGTAAATAGGATTAAGTAAATTAAATCGAAAATGCATCAAATTTATCCTACCCATAGATTTAGTGAATCAAATTTAAGCCGAATCCAAGGCAAACTAAATCCAAAAATTCATAAATCAGCTTAACTACTGCATTTTACCATTTGGTTTGATTTAGCAAATCCAGTGATAAATTCTATTAAAAGGCGCTATCAAACAGCCCCTTCATTTTCTTGAAACATCTACAATACATGTTAGTCTACACAATTACCAGAAATGGACTCCAATCATTTTTTGTTAAAATATAGAACAAAAGATTAATTATATAGACACCGAATCAAGAACCTAATTTTCCCTCACTTCTATGAAAACGACTTTTACAATTAGATAGAAGCAATTAAGACACTCAAAAGACAATTATCGCTTCATAACCAGACAAATATTACCTTCCTTGCATCAAAGGACTTCCGAACAACTGTGAAAGCTTCCATTGGCAGCATTGCGGCCACCTATAGCGGTGAATTCGTTAGAGGAAATACAGAAGAAAGATTTTGCATGTATAGAATCTCACTAAGGAAAAAGATTCATGAGCCTATGAATACCGGGAACTCGAGGATCTTGGAGATTGATTCAAGAAGAGGAAGAGAGACGCCGAAGAAGTCCTTTCCGGGATCCTCGTGGACGGGTATGCCAAGCTTGGAGAATCTCCAGAAGCCTTCTTCCTTGATCTTGATTTCTGTTAGGGTTCGAGTTTTATTCATCCTCTCGAGCTTCTTCTTCTCGGAAGGATACCTTTGCTTCCCGGTTCGCTTGGCGCATCGAGGCGCTGTGCATGGAGTTGGTTTGGCAGGGATTCCGAGTGCAGGAGGCCGCTTTGTGCAGAAAAAATAAGGAGTGTGAAACAGTGGTGTATGATTAGAGTTAGGGTAAGAAGGGCAGAGCGTCAGAGGGGGAAACTTGGCCGCCATGGCAATGGCCGGCGGGTTACAGCAGGGTTGCTGG